ACACAAAAAAAAAAAAAACAGAAAAAATAGTGGCACCTAAGATTTCACCAAATCAATGCCTTGCAAATCCACTTTGTGCTAAACTAGTTGAGATCCACATATTGAGAACCAACAACTTAAACAGTGTCTAGGAGGTAATACAAACTGAAGTTAGTCCAAGCATGATCCAATTTCATCGCAAAATATGAAGAAAACAAAGATTGGTGAACCTTGTGAGCTTAACAAATCCATAAAATGTAACCCCACAAACTCAAGAGATGATCAGATTCTCTAACACCAACAAAAATCAAGGGAGATAAAAACTTTACTTTGAGACTTCCACTGCAAGCACATGGACTCTCCAACTTGTCCAAAGAATCCTCCTCCTGGCAAATCCTGCACTCTCCTCTACAAATTAATGGCACCTCCTCATTCACCACCTCATCATCCTCTTCTTCCACAGTCATGGACGAAGAAGGTCCCACCATTTCAGGGTTCTTGATAATCTCTTCTGCATTTGGCTTCACAAGCCGATCCACGTACACCACCACACGATCTCCCATTCTATACCCAGATAAAATGACACAATTCCTGCACCAAATTTACCAATAATCACTTCAAGTTTGATAAACAAAAACACCCATCTCCTAATTTTCTACAAATTGCAAGATTTTCAGCTCAACTGGATTCCAAAAACGAAATGCACCACAAAGTTAAGATCTTTCTTCAACAAAAACTACTTCTCAATTCCAAACTAGTTAAGATCTTTAATTCCAATGTTAAATTAAAAAAATGAAAGAGAAATTTCAAGAATATATAACAGTGTGCATAAACCAAAACCCTAAAGATAAAATTATACCCATCAAGCCAAGAACCTCAGCAAGATCAAGGAATTTCTCAAAATTCACAGCAGCACAAATGCAAGTCAAATGAAAATCAAACTACAAATTAATTAAAAGAAAAAAAGAGCAAAAAAAAATGTACCCGGAGAAAACGAAGAAATTCAGGAAACGAAATACAACCAAAAAATCTGCAGAAATGTAGCGGAACCAACCAAAATTAAGATAGCGGTGTGAATGGTATTTGTCTTAGGTTTTGACACAAAAGTAATAAAACAAAACTAAGGAAGCACCAAATGTTTTTGTTGTCTTCTGCACTTTCTGGTGCAATTTTCAGAATTTTGGAGCTTAGAATGGGTCACTTTGGATATACGCTTTATACAGATTTATATATGGTATGCATGAAGAACATGTGGATATGTATATTAATTTCTCTTCCACTTTATTACAGTATATGATGGTTATATTATCTAACTTTAAGTATGAGTTCATAGAATTCTCAATTTTTTGAAATAATATTTATATATTTTTAAAAAATATAAAAAATATATAAATTGTACTTTCTCCTTCCCAATTTATGTGATAATTGGCAAATTTCATGGGTCAAATGAGTTGATTTTGATGATGAATTCGGACATAGAATCTTTAAAAAAATTTAAAATAAAATTTATATATTTAAAAAATACTATAAGTTACAACAATTAATAATTAAAAATATTTTTAAAATATAAAAAAAAATTAAGGTAAAAAACTCATTTGATTCTTAAAATTTAAACTGTCACATAAATTGAGGTGAATAATTAACAACTAAACCATTTAAACAATATAAGGAAAAATCACAATTAAAAAGAAACTCATTTAATTCTTCAAATAATATTATATGAAGTAGACAGAATTACGTATTTTTAGTTTACAACGGCTCGTTTTGTCTGCATCGGTTTTGGTGCAGGGATGGCTCAATCTGGCTTTAAATGAAGTTAGTGATCGATGACTTTGAACTCCCTTTTAATAACGTTTTCTTTCAACGGCTTAGAATTTAATTCAGGGAAGGGGGCAAAGTTGTTCATACACACTTCCACCAGCCTGGCTACTTTTCACATGCTTAGAAATTTTTAGTAACTCCATATTTTGAAGAAAAATAGTCTTTTGTAAAATATGATTACTTTTGTTGAGGTAGGAACGGAAGTGGTTGTGAATATTTTACTGTAACGTAATAAATTAATTTTCCCTCATGTAGCTAGGGAAAAGGTAAGGACTGTGGAATTGACGAGTGCTAATGGATATTGCAGTTCGAATTATGGTCATTTATTACTTAAGTTATCCTAGAAACAAGAATTAAGTTTACTTGACATATTTTGAAATGACTATATACGTCCCTAATTAATACTATCGATGTGTGTATGCCTTCGTCAAAGAAAGAAGGGAATCGCATGAAATTTTCATACACTCTAGGGGTCGTTGGTATAAGGTAGGATAAGATGCAGGATAAATTTATACCACCAATCAAATACGGTATAAATTTAATTCCAGACTTAATTTAAGATATCCTATTTTATCCCACCTTATTCCATCAAAGTTGGGATTATTTTATCCCACCTCCCATGTGATGCAGGATTTTAGTCCACATACCAAAAGACCCATTAGGCCTAAGGCCTCGCATTCAATAAACCTTCTCTTCCTCTATTTATCGCAACCTCGCCCTCTGGAAAAAAAATTATGTTAATCGTTACGGATACCAGCTACCACAATTTACTTCAACATGCCAAATTAAGCTAGCAATTAGCACAAGGCAACTACAATTTTATCTCAACGGACCCTAGCTCGTCGAAGAACAATTTCGAATCATTTACCACCCATGAGTGACTTCAATTCTACCCCACCCTCCAGGTTGATAAAGGCAATTCAAAGAGAACAACTTGGTAAAGGAATCGTGTATTTATGACTATTGTGTAAATGGTACAATATCCTTGCTACCAAAAGAGACCAGCTTTTCTAAATTCTAGTCTCTGCTTCCTCACACCATCTAATAATATTTTCAATGGAAGCTTTCCTGGTAACTGTTCATGACCATAAACAGAGACGGACTACTTGGGTTGTCAACCTCATTTCAACGGTCCATACGATTGATCTCACTTCGACGAAGAATAGCATCTTTTACTTGGGGTACCAAGCAACAAAGTGTACAGAGATTCTTGGCAGAGGCAGCTGATCCACTTTGGTCCTTTCGCCTTATCCACAGATGCAGGAAAATGGCTTCCCATCCTATAAAACAATCTATGAACATCTTCCAACACGTGTGACTATGTACTTTCCTTTCTCTAGATCATACACAGTCTTCAATTGTGGCTTTCTCCACTTTGACACATACCATGCTGTGAACATCACCAAAATGAAAAAGGCAAAGAAGAGAAGCAAAATAAGAGAGTCCTCACTGAACATATTTGCAAACCAGCCGGAATGCTCTTTGTCCAACTCAGCCGTGCTCTGCAAGATGAATGCTCCCAATGCCCAATCAAGTGGAATATTTTCAACTTGATTAGCATATCCAATCCTGCTCAAACGCATACATGAATAAAGTGGGATAGTCAAATATTCCACTAACTATATGCTTTTCTTAGGAAAAGATTAATTGGAAGTAAACTGTATTAATTTTATGCTTTACTGGTACACTTCATTTCCTTTTTATTTTCTTCTTTATTACCTTCATTTCCGTTGACTCCAAATTTTCTCCTCACCTATGATTTTTCAGTAGATTTTAACTATTCCCTTCGCGAAAGATTCAAAGGAGAGACGAGCCTCGGGAAGAAGTGGGGAAGGGTAGATAAGATACTTTACCATGACAACCATTTTTAAACTTGGAAGGCTACAACATGTGAAAGGCAGACAGCACAGTTTTCTCTTTCTTTTTAAGTCAAGCAAACAGCAGTAAGTATTGAAGAGGAAATCAGACGTTAGTAAGTACCTATCATCATCCAAACCAATTCCAAGACTATCATGAAGTAGTGCCAATATATACGCTGAAGAGAAGCAATAACGATGCAAATCCTGCTCTTGAAGAGAGTGGTACTTGCTTTTCAACCTTGACCAGTCCTCTTCACAAAAACTTTTCCCAGCAGCCATAAGATCAGAAAGAAAAGCTTTTGGGGGCAAACCAAAAAACTGTTCAGAAAGGTTTGGGAGGAAAAATTACAAACAAAAAAAGCCATTCTTTAGCACATCAAAAGCAAGATATTACCCACAAATAACACAACAAAATGTTGACTTCTATCAGCACATTGGTACAGTTACAAGATGAATGTGCACCTTAGAAGTATGGAAAAAATTTTCTGTAGCCAAAAACTTCCCCTGGAGCTTTGGCATAAATGTTGACCCAATGTAGCAGCTTTTATAAGGGCAACTCTCTGCATTATGCAAGAAGAAGAGCTTCATTTAATGGTTTCAAATGAAAGGAAAATGCCTGATAAAAAATTAAGTACAAAATTAAAATTGCATATTTGTTCTATTACAGGTAAAATAAAAGCAAACCTTTGCCTTTCTGCAAAAGTGATAATGACGCAGACCTGCACTCTGAGAAGTTGCCGCTGGGATACAGAGCAGATAGGAACTTATTCTTATCTGCAAAACTACTGGGGGAGAGCTTCAATGACCTTAGGTTGTGTGTATATCCTCTAGGAGAACAAGGATCCATCAGCTTAACACTTTGAGCAGCTGCATTGATGAAAACATAAAACAAATTTGCAAATATAAATTTTTACTTGCAGAACCATATGAGAAGAGATGTCTTATTTAAGCAAAAGAAAAACATGAAAACTGATGCATCAGTCCTCGTGAAAAGCAGGATATTAACTAAAGCCATGCTACAACCACAGCATTCCTCAAAAATGTCACTTGGACAACATAAAAAATCACTTTACAATGATGAAAAAATTAAACAGAAAAAAGGCATTTGCTTTATTTTTCCACTTCCTTTCTTCCCTTTTATTATATGTTCCTGGTTGTGAGG